AAATAATATTAATTTTATGCTTATCGAATTGTATTCACCAGATAAACTATCCTTTCTTGTTCATAGAAGACAATAAAATAGATATTTCGATTATTACAAAGCATTAATTCGGGTAAACTCTCAATATTTACTAGGAAATTTACACTCATGATCTATCGTTCAATCTGATATTTAAATTTAAGTTATATTACAATAAACTTCGTATGGAGTATGATAAAGAAATAGTAAATGCACTGTTGGAGATTCAAAACTATCAACATCAACTAAAAAAAATACTAGATAATGATATGCATGATTTAAGATCTGTTGGTAAACCCAATAATCTGGTGTTTGATAACTTCTACAAAGAGTCTATTCGCTACAAGAGGTTATTTTTCTGTTACCTTATGATTTCAATCACGGGCTTTATTGTGTTTTATCTTCATATCACAAAAGAACATTACAAAGAACTTGCTATAATACAAGGCATATTCATTGATTCACACAATAAGGTTTTGGATATGATCATTGAGAATATCAACAGGTTTCGTGTAGGACTATACCTATTACTATAAATAATTCCATTCATTATGTTGTAAATCTAGATTTTATTATCCTTATCGGTCATATATTTTATTATAAAAAGACCATTAATTAAATAAATTTGACCCTAAATCTACGTTAACTAAGATTAAACCTAATCTTAATATACACTAAATAAAAAATGGAATCTTGTACTATGTTGGGCTCTTGCAATTGTTCTCAATGCATTGATTGGAATGCTCCATTGTGTCAACTCTGTTTTTCTAACAGATATGAAATAAAATCTTTCCCAGATTATGAAACATATTGTGCTTCTTGTGTTCTACGAGATAAGGAAACCATTGTCTTTATCATCGGTGATAAGAAAAAAAATATCGTGACAAGGAGAGGTATAATCAAAAACCAAACAAATTCTCTCTTCGCATTACTACTAAACGATGGTAATATCAAACGAGATGATAACTATGTCTTTGAGGTTCCGCTTAATCCGAAGTTTCTGAATAAAATTGAACATGCGCTTCAAGACCGTGAAGTGATTACTGAATATGAAAACGAAGATCTTAAAAATGAGTTGTATTTCTTTACCGGTGGAGTAAATATTGAACTACTTTTTGAATCGGAAGATTTATGTTCGTGTAGCAACAAGAGATACAAAAAGAATTCAAAGTGCAAAGAGTATTATAAAAATTTATTGAAAGAACATGCACCAATATGCAGATTGTGTAGAGAGGGAAAGGTTGGTTGAGATAAAGGCAGGAGGCATTATTTTAATTTATGCAGAAATTGTGGTCGCGAACAGATATTATGCAGTATGTGTATATCTGGTAAGAAGTACTGGGATCATAAGAAAAGAGCATATCTTGATAAGTGTAAAATGTGTATTGATTTCATAGAAAGGAATAATTCTAAACTAGATTTGGAAAT